CAACGGGCTATTGCTGAGGTGGTGGGACAGATGGGGTATAGGAACTCTTTTTACTTATTTTGCCTCAAAATGCTAAAGTCCTGTAAGAAGAAGTAACAGTGCTCATGGGGTATTTGCTATGTGCCAGGATTTATTTTCAGCCTTTTATATACATCTAATTTAAACTTCACAGAAACCTCTTAGGTGGGCACTATTATTATTTTTCAGGCAGGTAAATGGATACACAAGGAGCATGAGTACCTTGCCTAAATTCATGTAGTTAGCAAAAGATGAAGCCAGGCAGTCAGATTCCAGAAGCTGAGAGCCTTTAACCAGAAAATAGGGTTCCTTTGGATCAGGTTTCCAATGCTGCAAACTGGGAGAAAGAAGCACATATCTTAAAAGTTAGTTTCAGAGAATTTGGGTCATTTTGTTTGTTTGTACATAGGAACCAGTCATATGGTATGGGGGAAGGGCACATGGTCATATTTGGTGAACAAATACATTTCCTAGAAATTAGTTCGGAGTTTGGAAACTTTTCTGCCTATGAAGCTCCTGTAGGAGCTTCTAGAAAAGAGCTTTTCTCTTCTAGAAAAATTTGCTCTCTGGATTTTGCAAAGCAGAGCCCTGGAGCTCCCCTGGGAGAGTGGGAAGAAGTTTCCTCTTAAGCTGATTGAGTGAAAGCCCCAGCAAAGTGACATTTTATAGAAGAGGCCCCATCAAAGCCAGTAAAGCTGAGCATAATTCCTTAAATGTATCTTTATGTAAACAGGGAGGACTCAACAAGATTTTAAAATAACACAGTTGAGTAAGTGAAACAACTGAAGATATGCATCTCATTCAAATCGAATTCACCAACTGCAACAATATTATCTCATTAGGGAGATTTTATGTCACATGTTCAAAGCTGGCTTTAAGTCCTTAAGAGGTATCAAAATAATCAAAGTGTTTTCTTTGCTCTTAGGCATCTTATGAAAGAATCATAAATGGTTGAGATGTTTATGTTGATCAGAAACCACAGTTGAGAAGTGAAAGGAAAGGGTGTTTCTGAGCATAAAGCTAGGAGGGAGGAGACTCAGTCCATTATTTTAGCTTCTGTCTTAGAACTGTTACGCTCTGTCTGCCCTGAATCCCTGACTCCAGGTTGCTGGAGGCTCTCTGGAGAGGAATATGTCTTTAATGTGAGAAGAATCAGAATTGAGAAAGGGATTCCCAAATTTGATTGGCTATCATAATCACCTGGAATGCTTTTTTAAGGTACAGATTTCCAGGATCCTCCCCCTGGATGTTCTGACCCAGCAGGTCCAGATTGGAAATCAGGAACATGATTTTTTACAAATCTCTCTCGATGGGCATCTATGATCAACCAGGACTGGGAGCCACAATCTAGTGTATACATTTTACAAATGAGTAGACTGCGGCGTGGTTAGGATAATTAATGTACTCAATTCCTCTTCTAGAGATGGAGCTGAGACTGGAATTTCTTTCCTTTCTTCCCTCCTTCTCTAGATTCAGTGCTTTTTTCAAGTCTCTGAGTACATATGCATTGGACAGCTAGGGATGTGTGTGTGTGTGAGTGTGTGTGTGTGTGTGAGAGATGCAGTCACGTAAGGATGAGGACTTATCCCTTGAAGATACTAAATATCAGGCTATTAATAATAATACTATTATTTTGAAATGGAATCATATGAGTAAAAATCTTTGATGGTTGGAATTAAAATGTAAATTTTGTGAAAATAGAATTATTTAGTACACAGTCTCCTAGGAGAAGTAAAAAGCACCACAAGGAAATAAGAGACACTTTGTCCAAGGCTTCCAATTATGTGGAAGAACCATGCCTTATATCCTGGAAAAGACAGATGAGTAGTGAAGAATTGTCCTATTAACTTCATCTCCCTTCCCCAATCTATTGTCTTCCCAAAATCCCACTTGGATTTCGAGCTCCTGAGGTCAGGGACTATATCTTATTCCTACTTATATCCTGATAATAATGATTATTTATTGAGCACTTATTTCATTTGCAAAACAGTCCTATGACATAGGTACCGTTATAACCCCATATCACACATGAGGAAATAGATAGGCAAACACCATCTGGTTTGTTTAGTGAGTACAGAGGAAGTACCCTCTCTGGCCTAGAGTAGACAAGGAAGGGATTCAGGATGAGATGGGACTTTAGTCAAGGCTTGGAGGATGGGTACACACCAGGTGAAGAATGGGCAGGGGAGGAATGATCTCTGGCTGAAGAAAGGTATGCCAACATGTTTGAGAAGGTGGGAAGGAATCAAGGTAGGCATGCTTGAGGGTCAAGTTCAGGATGGTTTCCTCAGAGCAGGCTTGGGCAGAGAGGCAGTGGGAACTGTGGTTGGAAAGGCAATTTGGGGTGGACCTATGGATGGCCTTGAAATCTAGATAAAGAAGCTTGGCTTTGGTTTTGTCCACATTGAGGAGCTCTTCAAAGCTTTTGAGCAGGGGAACGACATGCTGGAAAAATGCTATTCTAGGACAATATGAGTGAGGGGAGGTCTGAGGCACCAGAGCTTCAAGTCCCTGTTCAAAGAAATAGGGACATTTGGAGGAAGCACCAGTTACAGAGGAGAGGAATAGACGAGTTCATCTTTGTTTTGATTGGGTTGGGATGCCCAAGCCACGTGGCCATCTCTAGCAGGCAGTTGGAGCTCTGGGGCTGGAAATAAAGATATGGAATGTGGATTTTTGAAGTTGGTAGTAAATAAATCTCTGAGTAGAAGAATGAGGAGCAGGAAGAACAGAGGGTCTGGGACCAAAACTTGTGTACCTGACATATTTGGGGATCAGGAAGATAAACCAGGGAAGCAAATAGTTAAGTGGAGTCTGGCATGTAATGAGCTTTTTCATTTCATTAAAAAATAACCCCATGTATATGAATAACTGTTTAATGTGTTCATCTCTTATGTGTGTGTTTATCCAGTGAGATTTTTTGTTCCCTAACTGCCTGCAAGACATTCTCACCAAACTATTTGCCCTCTGGAAATCTTGCCAGAACCTCAAACGTAATATTTCCCCAACTGAACGTGGCTTCTCATTTTCCAAACTTGTCTTGTGTTCTGTGTTCTTTATTTCTAGTGATGGCTTCCCATCTTCTAGACTCAAAACTCTTGACTTCCCTGTGTATTCCACTTGCTTCCAAGGCCCAGAATGTTGACCTCTTTGTGCTCCTTAAGTGTCCAGCCTCCTCTCCCACACCACTGTGCTTGACTTCAGGTCCCCAGGTCCTTTACCTGGGGATGTTTAACAATGTCTTAATTCATCCTTCCAAGTTTACACTCTCCTCCCTGTAATCCACCATACACACTGCTACCACCAGATTCATCTTTTGGCATCTGATCTTCTGACTTACCAGACCCTCTTAAAAACCTTGCACAGCTTCAATTTGCTGACAGCAGTGGTTTCATATGTGGTCCCCAAATGAAATCTTATCCAGAAACTCCAGTATGTCAACTAGATAAAAGCAGGCTGTTCTGGTCACACAGGAGAGTACACTGGATCATTGCCCATTCTGTCTTCACAACACCCAGAACTCAGCAGAAGAGAATTTGAATAAGTGCCAACTTCCTGAGCCTCATCGTCATGGCCCTTTGAAATTTCCTCTCAACTTTTTCCATCTTATTTCCCATTAGTGCTAACTATGTCTCCTACAGTTGAGTCTGAGGGAACTGTTATTTCCATACACTCCCATTCTGTGTCCTTTACTCATCTGAATAAAATTCTCTTCTGTTTAGAGTGCCTTCCCTTTGTCTCCATACGTCCAATTCCTATCTTTGAAGACCCACCTCAAAAGCTCCCTCAGTGGAGAGTTCTTCCCTGATCCATCCCCCTTACTTCTTTTTTTTTTAAATTTTATTTTATTATGTTATGTTAATCACCATACATTACATCATTAGTTTTTGATGTAGTGTTCCATGATTCATTGTTTGCATATAACACCCACTGCTCCATTCAATACATGCCCTCTTTAATACCCATCACCGGGTTGACCCATCCCCCCAACCCCCTCCCCTCTAGAACCCTCAGTTTGTTTCTCAGAGTCCATAGTCTCTCATGGTTCGTCTCCCCCTCCAATTTCCCCCCCTTCATTTTTCCCTTACTACTATCTTCTTTTTTTTTTTTAACATATAATTTATTATTTGTTTCAGAGGTACAGGTCTGTGATTCAACTGTCTTACACAATTCACAGCATTCACCATAGCACATACCCTCTCCTATGTCTATCACCCCGCCACCCCAATCCCTCCCACCCCCCACCATTCCAGCAACCCTCAGTTTGTTTCCTGAGATTAAGAATTCCTCATATCAATGAGATGATATGATACATGTCTTTCTCTGATTGACTTATGCTAAGCGAAATAAGTCATCCCCCTTACTTCTTTTTTATAAATTTTTTTAAAGATTTTATTTATTTATTTGCGAGAGAGACAATGAGAGACAGAGAGCATGAGAGGGAGGAGGGTCAGAGGGAGAAGCAGACTCCCTGCCGAGCAGGGAGCCCAATGAGGGACTCGATCCCGGGACTCCAGGATCATGACCTGAGCCGAAGGCAGTCGCTTAACCAACTGAGCCACCCAGGTGCCCCATCCCCCTTACTTCTAAGTAATTTCTTTTCTCCTTAATCCATTATTGCCCATTATCTGGGTCTCTCTTAGGCACACATCACTTTGTTTTTTATTAGAATAACTTAGTGTCTGTTTTCTCTCTCCTTGTAGTCTCCGAAGTCCTGAAATTGGGATAATAGATTGATTTGCCCCCTTATTCTTCCTTGGGGGCTGGGACACACCTTGAGCTTGTGATTTACAGTTATTTGCTGAATGAATATCTGCTTTGTGAGCAACTTGAAGGGAGGGAGGAAGGCTTCATCGTTATCATGTATTTCTCATGATGCACAGTACAGTGCTGGGCTTAGTGCAGACCTTGTATTGAATCTATAAAACTGGCAGGCATTTTGTTTTACTTTGGAACTATAATATATATTCTTATCTTTTCAGATACTTTTTGCAAGCCATGATGGGAGACCCCGTGGAGAGCCACAGAAGGACAGTTTTTTCATCCAGCATGGAGGTGAGGGGAACAGTATTAATGTTGCCATTTTGTTCATGGTACTCACAGGCTGAAAAAGGTAAGATGCCTTTCAGAGAATTAGGGGCAGAATCTTAAAATGCCTTTCTTTGTTATGCCTCTTCCATCCTAGGTCATCTTTCCAGTAAGTATTTCATGGCATGTTACCTTTGAGGTCATTTATTGCATGTCACTGTCTTTAGGGCAGACCTTCTGAAGAGGTCTGGAAAGAATCTAAACTAATGGTTTGGAACTTTTATAGTTATGCATCTCTAGCTAGGTGTATAAGTGGTTTGAGTTGAAAGAGCCTGGAGTTCTGTGGCAGTAAGCTTCTGGTAAGGGCAGTGGGAAGTCTGAAGGAATAAATTAAAGTACCAGATGCCCTTTATACTGCTCAACTTCTCAGCATGAGTCAGTCCCAACTTCCCAGCTTGGGTCACAAGTTTATCTTCTCTAAGGGCTGTGAAAGCAGCCACAGTGGCAGGGGATGATGGATGGAGTTGTTCTGAGAAAGGGTGTGCATGGAAGTTCTGTTGGGATCTTACAATTCCCCAGGAAGTTTCAAGAATTTCTTAAAGTCTAAATTCAATAAATGAAGAAAAAGGGGGGGTTCACACAATCCATTAGACTAAACTGTATACATTTCAGTACATATAGGAAAAGTTTGATTGTAAGAGTGAAATAATAAGAGGAAAGGTTTTGTGACTGCTACTTCTGAAAATTAAAAAGAAAGTATTATAATTAATTATTTAATTTAAGTGTTTAATTAAATGCAAGTTACAGTTCCTCATTTATATATCTTTCTTTTAATGGCTTAAATCTCTTAAAGCACACAGGCTTAGACATATGCCTGTTCTCAACTGTTCCTTATCTCTCTTTAAGTTGGAGTTGCCCCGAGTTTTCCATTGATAAGAAAATCAGGTGTTTTTCAATAATAACTCATTATCTCTTGAAAATGAAAATAATGTGTATATTTCCTGAATGAATGATTGGACATTTTAGTGTCATTTCTTTGGTTACAATATTCATAGTAATCATGTATTAAATGCTGGCCCATTCATAGACATTAATCATCCGAGAATGCTTAAAAAGACCCAGGAAATAAAATAACAATCTTGATTTGAGGTGGAATTCAAGGATCTCTTAACACATAGAAGTTATGCACTTTAGCTTCTTTTGGCTTTTGACTCGGTGAAGGTGAAGGTGCAATAGACTTCAGTCATCCCAAATTCGGGTTCACTGGACACCAGCCACCGCCACCATGCCGCCTAAGTTTGACCCCAACGAGATCAAAGTCATGTACCTGAGGTGCACCAGTGGGGAAGTCAGAGCCACTTCTGTTTTGGCCCCAAAGATCGGCCCCCTGAGTCTGTCTCCAAACAAGGTGGTGATGACATCACCAAGGCAGCCAGTGATTGGAAGACTCTGAGGATTCCAGTGAAGCTGACCACTCAGAACAGACAGGCCCAGATTGAAGTGGTACCTTCTGCCTTTGCCCTGATTATCAAAACCCTCAAGGAACTGCCAACAGACAGAAAGTAGCAGAAAGACATTAAGCACAGTGGAAATTTCACTTTTGATGAGATTGCTAACATTGACCAACAGTTGTGGTACCAATCTTTAGCCGGAGAACTCTCTGGAACCATTAAAGAGATCCTGGGGACTGCCCAATCTGTAGGCTGCAATGTTGATTACCACCACCCTCATGACATCATAGATGACATCAATAATGGTACAGTGGAGTGCCCAGCCAGTTAAGAACTACAAAAGAAAATATTTCAATAAAGAATCATTTGACAACCAAAAAAAAAAAAAGGATGCATTTCACATAGAATGAAATTACAGTATTTATCTTAAGCACTGAATATGCAATATAAAACAGGACTTAAGGACACTGTTTTAGAATCTTATTGCTTGGTTTAAATTCCAGCTTCTCCACTAATATAGCTATGTTAACTTCTCTGTACCTGAATTTCTTCATCTGAAAATGGTAGTAAGTATAGAACTTGTCCATATCAGTCCTCTTTTACTATAATAATGGTGTGTAACAAATAGCTGTCCCCAAATCTCAGTGGCTTATAAACATAAATATTTTTTCTCCTCCAGGGGTTTGTAAATCAACTGTGCAACTCTGTTCTAGCTGACAGTTGGGTTCAGATTGCCTCCACAGGTGCCAGGCTGAAAGAGAAGTGGTTCTCTAAGTGGGATGTCAGGAACACAAAAGAATGAGCCAAACCATTTAGCAATTTCAGTCAGACCCTCTGCTTGCATACATTCACATTTCAGTTGTCAAACAAGTCATATGGCCAAGTTCAACACTGAGGGGGTGGATAATTATACTTTTCCCATGGAAAGAGGAAGGCAGAGTGAGTAGTTGTTGAACAATAATTCCTACCTCACTACCTTAGGGTTGTTGTGAGTGATGACTGATATAATATTGTATAGCTCTTAGCACATTTACTTGTTACACAGTAAAAGATCAATATGCATTCTTTATTATTATTTCTTATAAAAATGGTGTCATAAATTTAAAGAGAGCAGAGAACAAAGGAACTTCTGGAAACTCATGTGGACCTTACTGAGATTCGTGTTCCAACTTGCCCTGAGTCTCTCCTTTATTGCCCTACTTCTACTCCTGTTAGAACCTGAAAGACTGTTAGCAATATGAGAACAGAGAGAAGTTTCCATCTCTCTCTTCCTCATCTAGGCTTGTGGTTAGTTGACCACTGACTACTTCCATAATGGTCCAAAAGTGTCACAAAATCTATTTTCTTGGAGCCTATGGTAGTGAGTTGTAAATCTTGGGAAGTGCATAACTTCTGTTAATTTCCTCCCTCCCCCCATCCTTCCTTTCTTCCTTCCTTCCTCTTTCTATCTTTTATTTCTTTAACAAGAAAACAAAATAGAATGTTCATTAGGCGAATGGATTGGATTTCAGTACCTACTATAACCACAAACTCTTATAGTGAATTTGTCTTTGCGTCTTGGAAGCAGATATCGAGGCAGAGTTTGAGATGCAAGATGTTTATTAAGATTAACACCTGTGGGGGCACCTGGCTGGCTCAGTCAGTACAGCATGTGACTTCTGATGTTAGGGTCAAGAGTTTGAGCCCATGTTGCATGTGGAGTCTATTTAAAAAAAGGGGGGGGGAAGATTAATGCCTGTGAAAGGAAGGTCTAGGGAGTACTACTGGGATAAAGAAGTTAAACCATGGTGCAGGTCTGACAAAGCCTCAGGCAACCAGGCATGAACTCTAGAGCTGCAATAACCTTCCAGAGCTCTCCTGAGTTGGGTCAAGAGGACCACTCCTTTAAATTTCTTCATAGATCAGTCATTTGATGTGGGCTGACCCAAGAAAGTGTGTGGCTTAGGCTTGGGGACTCTGTGGCTGAGGCAGACCCTGAAGGGGCTGGTAGCTGGAGCCTGTGTGTAGAAGGCACATCCACAGGCGAATAGCAAGCCCTCCCTGAAGAGAGGTCTGTGTGGTGCATCTCCAGGTCAACCACAAGAACCTAGCTCTTTGTACTCATTTCATAAATGTTTATTATTATTATTATTATTATTATTGCTAGTTATCAATATTTATGTATATGTACAGTTTTGCTATCTCATCCCTTTTATTGCCTACCCTCACTGCCCCCCAATGGCCTATCCACCCCACCACACCCACCCAGCTTGGCATAAGCTTTAGGAGAGAGTCATGATGGTAGCAAGACCCATCAGGCTCCTTTGGCTTTGGGCTCTTGAGAATACTTTGGATCCTGTGTTCATTCTTGAGTTTCCAACTCAGCTCATCTAACTTCAAGCAGGGAAATGGAGGAGATTACTGTAGAACTCCAGTGTGGATTTGTATCCAAAGTTTATTAGGAATGATACCATGAAATCTCTAAGATACGCCTCTACCGTCCTAGGCAGAAGAGACTTAAACAGAACTGGACTCATAATCTTATAGAACAATGGATTGTTGGAATAGAAGAAAAATACAAATCTATGTATTCACCTTCCTCCTGTTACAGTTGAGGAAACTGATGCATAGAGAGCCATGACTTGTTCAAGCTCACCCAACTCCTTAGTAGCAAATAATCAGACCAGAGGCTTTTCATGTAATCGTACAGTGTTTAGATAGCATTGGGGCTTAAAAATTTGAGTCAGAGTTGGAGTTGGACAACTTTGCTCAAATCCTGGCTTACACACTTTTAAGCCATGTGATTATGCGCAAATAATTTAACCTCTATGAGTCTCAATTTCCTCATTTTTAAGAGGCCACTTCACAAGGTAATTGTGAGCATTAAATTAGAAATGGATGAAAAGAGTTTAGCTGGTACAATGATGATTTCATTCACAGATATGTATTCTGTCTTTAGGAAGACATGATAGGGAGCATGTCTGTTATCTCTACTACAATGATGCAGTGGCATGCAAAATTAAACATTTATGGCTCACTCATCTAGGCTCAGCCAAGATTGGTAAGCCAAGCCACCTCTGCTGATTTTGGCTGGAGACTCACGCACATGTCTGTATGTTAGCTGGATGTTGGCTAATCTGGGATGACCTTTGCTGGGTCAGCTGCAAATACTCAGCTCTTCTCATATCTTTCATCCTCCAGCAGGCTAGCTTGGGCTTGCTGAGTGATGGTACAGGCTCAAGAAAGTAGGTGGAGATACTCAAGGCATTTTAAGGTTTAGGTTTGGAATTTGTACACCATCGTTTCACTTCTTTCTTTTGGCTAAAACAAGTCATGAGGCCATTCCTAGAATCGGAGGGGGATACTACAAAGTTTCGTGGTAGAACTAAAAGGGGCAGGGGCAGGGAAGACCATGCTCTTGATGGGAGGAGCCCCAAAATCACATGGTAATAGGTGTGGCTATCAAGAGGGGTGGAGATCATTAAGGAAATCAATTTAGCTTTAGGAGACACTTTATAATAAGCCTCAAATCACCCTATTGGATATAGGGTCCATGATGACTCCATTCCATACTGAATTCTGCTTATGAAGGAGGAT